CTAAGTCGAATGATTTCATTTCAACTAATATACGATTCGAGACCTCTTTCTACGTTCCATGTGTGATATGTTTCACATCAATTCTTTGAAATTCAAAAATAACTTGGCTTTTTCAATACTTGAATAGGTTTGATTATAAAATTAAACAAAAAGCTTTAGTCCATTGAACACAGTTTACGCCACAGTGTTTATGCGGAGAAAAAGCATATCATCATCACAAACAAAACAACTCGTAATTACTTGTTCCTTCTTCTTCCTCTCTTTTTTTCACATATAAAAAAAAAATCTCTCCTTTTTTGTTCTTGTTCTTTTTTATAACAGACCGATAAATCCTTTTTGCTCTTCTTATCTCAGTTGATTGGCTATGACTTCTTCAATCGTTTTCGCTGCAACTCCAGCTACTGGGTTTCTCTCTGTTCATCCATTGAAGCCTCGGAGATTCCATGTTACTTCCTCACTCGACACCGATGTTTCCGACATGAGTGTTAACGGTAATAAACCAAACAAAATTTTGAGTCTTTACTGTCTCTTATGTGTTAGGTTGATTCCTTTTCGATGTTTTGGATTCTGGGTACTTGAATTGAATTCCTTTCTCTTGATAAAATCGGAAACTTTGATTAAAGAGCTTAGCTTTATGCCACGAACAATCCCAATTTTGAAGAGGATAAGGTTTCGATTCTCACATGTACTCAGTGGCTTTGGTTTAATCCAATCTATTAAATTGACGAGAATTTCGCGACATATAGATTGAAAAATGAAACTCTTTTAGCTTCTCTATGCTCTAAGGCAAATCAACAGTATTGGAAATGGAGAGTTTAGGTCAAGATTTTACTTCGGTTGGAGTATTGTGATATTTGGTCTTTTGCTTACCGTTTGAATGTACTGGTTATAAATGCAGCTCCAAAGGGGTTATTTCCTCCAGAGCCAGTACAGTACAAGGGACCGAAGCTGAAAGTAGCTATTATAGGAGCTGGACTTGCAGGCATGTCAACTGCTGTAGAGCTTCTGGATCAGGGTCACGAGGTGTTTAATCCATTGCTTTTCGCTGTTCGTTCACCTTTGATTTGGTTACATGAAATGTGTAATCTTTGTTATTGTTTCAGGTGGATATATATGATTCAAGGACATTCATTGGTGGCAAAGTGGGTTCTTTTGTAGATAGACGTGGGAACCATATTGAAATGGGACTACATGTTTTCTTTGGATGCTACAACAATCTCTTCCGCTTGATGAAAAAGGTCTTTGTTTCCCAAAGCTTCCGTTTGAGTTTTTTTATGATTGAAAGCTACTTAATATTCATATATGAAGATTTTTAAATTGTAGGTGGGTGCTGATAAAAACCTTCTTGTCAAAGACCACACTCATACATTTATAAACAAAGGCAGCGAAATTGGAGGTATTGATCAGTTGCTTCTCTTGCTATGGCCGCCTCTATGATTTCATTGTTCTGAGATGTGCATATAAATTGTAGAGCTTGATTTTCGATTTCCTGTTGGAGCTCCAATTCACGGTATTCGCGCCTTTTTAGTCACAAATCAACTCAAGGTATAAGTCAAATTTTGGATTCATTTCTCTAGACGCATCTAAGTCTTTGAATTCTTGTCAGTGCAAAAGATTAGTAATTTCTTACTTTTTGAACCAATCTCGAGCTGAAAATCCGCATTTTTCTTTTTCTTGGCCAAACAGCCCTATGACAAACTGAGGAATTCACTGGCTCTTGCATTAAGCCCAGTCGTTAAAGCTCTTGTTGATCCTGATGGAGCAATGAGAGACATTCGCAATCTGGACAGCGTAAGAATGATAGATAGCCTCTGTTTCTTCTCATTTTTCTACTACTGTTTGTGTTCTCTAAATATCTGAGATACTTCTTGCAGATAAGTTTCTCGGATTGGTTCCTGTCGAAAGGTGGGACACGGGCAAGTATCCAGAGAATGTGGGATCCTGTTGCTTATGCACTTGGTTTCATAGATTGCGATAACATGAGTGCACGATGTATGCTTACCATATTCTCATTATTCGCCACCAAAACAGAAGCTTCTTTGTTGCGTATGCTCAAGGGCTCACCTGATGTTTACTTGAGTGGTCCTATAAAAAAATATATCACAGATAGAGGTGGCAGGTGTGTGTCTGTGTGTTTCTGTTATCACCTATAATAACTGTATGATCTTATCGAGTATTTATAAGCTTGCCTTCATAAACAGAATCCATCTAAGGTGGGGCTGCAGGGAGATACTTTATGATAAATCAGCAGATGGAGAAACTTACGTCACAGGACTTGCAATTTCCAAGGTGAATTGACCTTCAGACATCAGATTTTAGTGGTCTGCAAAGATGTCTGAATACATTCTGAATTTTTTCTAGAGGAAAAATTTGAACATTTTTTTGGTTTGCTTTCAGGCTACGAACAAGAAGATTGTGAAAGCTGATGTGTATGTTGCAGCTTGTGATGTGCCGGGAATCAAAAGGTTACTTCCGAAAGAATGGCGGGAATCTCGATTTTTCAACGATATATATGAACTCGAGGGTGTACCAGTTTGTACAGTACAGCTCAGATACAACGGTTGGGTCACTGAGTTACAAGACATTGACCTTGCCAGGTTTTTTTCTCAAGAATCTTATATTGTGGGATGATGATGATGGATTGATGCTGGGTGGGTTTTACTCACCCAAATCTTTGTTTTGTGTTGCGGAAAATTGTAGGCAGTTGAAACGAGCGGTTGGTTTAGATAACCTTCTCTACACTCCTGATGCCGATTTCTCATGTTTTGCGGATCTTGCACTTGCTTCACCTGCAGATTATTACATTGAAGGACAAGGCTCTTTGCTTCAGTAAGAAACACTAACCCATTTTTTTGTCTACAAAAGAACCTGCCGATCTCTAAATATTTTAAACCCGAGCTCTGTTTTCTACAGGTGCGTTCTAACACCGGGAGATCCATACATGCGATTACCAAACGATAAGATCATAGAGAAAGTCGCCATGCAGGTAAGAAAACATGGTTCAATTCTCCAAACTCTTGAGAAAACTTTTTGCCAAATTAAATTTCTTGTTGATTCTCCAATCTTTTTGTTCAGGTCACTGAGTTGTTTCCATCCTCACGGGGTCTAGAAGTCACATGGTCATCAGTTGTGAAAATCGCTCAGTCTCTGTACCGTGAAGCACCTGGCAAAGATCCATTCAGACCTGATCAGAAGACGCCTGTAAAGAATTTCTTCCTCGCTGGTTCATACACAAAGCAGGTAACTTTTTACACACAACAATTGTTCAGGCTGATCCACAAGAGTGGCTCAATGCAAAGCAAGAACTGCTTCCAGGGTTGCGTCTGAGAAAATTCCGAAAAAAGTCACCGAGTATCTTGTTTCTGTACTTGTTGCAGGATTACATAGATAGTATGGAAGGAGCGACATTATCGGGGAGACAAGCTTCGTCATACATCTGTGACGCCGGTGAAGAACTAGCAGAGCTAAACAAGAAGCTTTCTTCTTCTACAGCTGCAGTTTCTGATGAGCTAAGTCTTGTCTAATGAGTAATGATGAAAAATGTTTGAAAGTAGTTCCCATGTACAAGAAGAAGCAGCATAGTGTTCATAAGAGAAGACAATTTGTATTATCACAACAATCTTTTGAAATCAAAGATTCTTACAAAATGTAACAATATCAAAAGATTTCTTATTCGTAAAGCTTATAACATTACAAATTGAACAGCACAACAGGGGCAAAGATTCTTCAAGCTGCTTCTTCTTCTTCAATGGCTTTCTTTGCAGTTTCGATGTCTTCGTCAAGGAAAATGTCCCAATGACCATCCCAAGTGATGAAGAACTCAGTGTCTTCATGATACTTGACTCGATGAACATCACCGGCCGGAGTATATAAGTAATCGCCGTCAACGAGATCAGCTCTCTCCTTCTTGTTTAGATTCCAAACACTCTTCTTCCCCTTAAGGACTACAATGTCATGGCCAAATGTGTGATGATGCGCCGGTTCCACACTTCCCGCTTTAAACCTTACAATCGCCGACGTCGGCGTCTCTCTCACGATCTTCATCGAGCCTCCCGGCATTATCTCCACTGGAGTGAACTCTCTGTTCTTCGCCAAGCAGCAAATCACGCATGAAGCGGAGGTTTGATCTGTCTGTTTGGTTGTTGAATCGGCGTTGGATTTCCCGATCTGAGGCATCTCGGAGAGAGAGTTGTCGAGGAAGGATGAGATCTCTGAGCTCCATGGCTCGAATCCAGATGCAGGACAGGGAGATTTAAACGGAGTTTTAATCCATGCGTCGAAGATTTCCACGGCGGTTTCCGGCGAGGTTTTAGTACCGGAGAGTGCGAGGACGTTGCAATTGCTGATCGATCTAGCGTTTACTGCGTCTTCGACGGAGAGACACGTGGCGGCGTAGACTCCAGGGAACTTATTGGCGAACATCGCAACTCCGACGCCGGTTCCGCAGCATACCAAGCCACGGATTTCGGAGGACGATGAAGCGGAGACGCGGCGGCCGACTTCAGCTCCGGCGGAGTAGTAGGAGTTTACGCCGGTATCCTCCACTTCTATGCCGAGAGAACGGAGGTGAGATACCATCGCGTCCTTGAATTCGCTCCGAATCCATCAGCTCCGGCGATGATCTTGATCGGTAGATCGGTGGCGGAAGTAGCTCCGGCCATCTCTGCAAACGGAAATGACAGTTGGATTTAGGAAGTGACTAGAAGATCTCTTAAAGTGGATAATACGAAAAATGAGAGACACAAGTTATTTATCATCCACATTTTACCCCAAAAGTTATTTTCGATGCACAAATAACCCTCAAATCGTAAAATAGCTGACGAGGTGAGGTACTTTTAATCAATCAATAAAAGTTTAGGGTACATTTTGTAGTTTCCATATCCTGGACGATGGTTCCTGTAAAGTATTTTTAATTGAAATATATGCGACGGAGCAATGGCAGTGTTGATAATTGCCGGCGACAACCGTTATGACTCTCTAAGAAAATGGCGGGAGTTGCTTGCCAGATATCTATCAGCTCATCATCGTCCCTGAGAGTGAGTGGTTTCTGTTGATTTTGTTCGTTATCTATGGCGATTTGCGATTCCTTCGATTTCAATGTTGGGTTGTTCGTTTTGCAGAGGGTTGGTTATCGGCCGATATGCTTCTCTGGTTCGCCGGAGAAGAAAACTCCGGCGGTTTTGAAGTGGGCGGTTGGTGGACTCACCGAATTGCTCCGGCTGTTCTCAGTCG